AGGGAGGAAACAGAGAAGAGAAAAGGAGTTTATGGGTTTTTTATTCGCTAAATTTTATTTAGGCAGGATAAACATGTTCTTCACATCCATCTGTGAATCACACGTGATGAGGTGTGAGCTGAAATACCATAAAGTCCAGACTTTATTCACATAAAGCAAAAAGACAGAGAAGTGATTGAATAAGGACTGGGAAGGAAACAAACGTCTGCTCGACAAAATGAAGCCTTGGAAGAAAAACAATAAAGTGAATAACGAACAGTTTCTGTTTTTACAGCAGCCTCCAGGAGATGGAGATGTTTACGCTCAGGACAAAAATATTGTTATGTCTGTTTCAAAGACAGACATGGAGGTAAAAGGACAACAGGGGAGACAAACAAGGACACAAGTAAGGAGATAGGGAGAGAAGGAACAAAGAAGGAGACAACATTGGACAAATGTGAGAAAAAGATGAAGTTAAGGAAGGAAACGAGAGACCTGCCTTAGGAGATTAGGAGGAAGGAGACAAATAAGGACACGTGGAGGAAGATAAGGATGGAGTTAAGCAAGGAAACAATGGAGGAGACAAATAAAGACACACGAGATGAAAAGGTAGTTAAACCCTGGACACCCATGTGGCCCTTGGACTCGTGTGGACTCTCCGTCTGAGCGTCTTCAGGATCTGTGACCTTCATCCTCACGTTCGTCCTCTTCCTGTCACCCCGCTCCTCTCCCACGACACGACACGACTGGGCTTTAAATCCTGTCACCCCGCTCCTCTCCCACGACAATCCCAGGCGACACGACTGGGCTTTAAAATAATCTGGGCAGGTTTTCATGACAGAGAAAGGCCAGCTCCGCTCACTGACAACGATTTCCTGGTTTTTGTGTTCAGTGTTTGTCAGAATCTGGGCCACATCGCTTTGACTCTATGTTGGACCACATGAACATATCCAGACTGGACATCCTGAATCTGGACCACATTTTCCTGGATATGTTTCACAAACCCAACCTACATGAAGTATTTATGCTTCTGGAAATTTTTTTTTTAACCATTTGAAACAAAACGATTTGTCTGAAGTGACCTTTGTCATGATCTCAAACATTTTTTATTTATGATTAAACCCAAAAATAAAAAATAAAAAGTGTAAATCTGCAGAACTATCCAAGTGAAAAAGAACACGGAGACTTTCTGCACTCCCACACGAGCAGGAACCATCTGTGGGCTGAGAGTTTGTCAGACCACGGTGACCTGACTGTAACCTCATCATAAGTCCTTTATCTGACGGAGGGCGGTGTTCTGGCTTTTCATTTCCTGTCGTCTCTACAGAGGCCACAAACACACGCAGGTGTAATGATGTAATAAATGGGTCAGAAAGTGATGATTATGTCACATATATGGATTTTTTTCTTTAATTGAAATCCATTCTATCTGTGCTTGAATGTGTTTCATCAAATATCTAAATCTTTTCTATTTTCTGTGGAAATGTCAGCCTAATGGCCTTGTGTCTGGTAACATCTCACACACACACACACACACACACACACACGACTCCTGTTTCTATGACAACATGTCAGAATTGAAGTAAGAGTAGTCAAAAGTCAAAAGCCAAATCAAATTTATTTGGTCAAATGTGATAAAGTCTAGTTGAAGACAAATAAATGAGAGCCTCGACAGAACGGCCGTCGTTGAGTTTTTAATGTGGTCGTTGACCTAGTTCAGACTATTTATAGACCGTAGACCTTTAAGGTTGTAAATGAGTTATAATTGTAGGACATCCTTTATTTAACTTGTGTATTTTTAATAGTTAGAAATTCAGACATCTTTGAAATAATAACATTTGCTGTAGAAACGTTGACTGATCTTATTTTCAGTGTATGTTTTAGCAACTTTTTAAATGTATTAATTACTCTCATTTATTTATTTATTTATTCAAATCAGACATCTTTGAAAAAGGAACATCTGACTTGGAATGTTCTGCCTTTTAACCAAAAAGAATAAATGTAACGGTAGCGTGAGGCTGTAAATTACAGATTATAATCTGCTGTGCTGCAGCCTGTTCATTAGTGACTAATGAGTGTGGGATTAATATAAAACGTAGGATTAAACGTTCTCTGGCAGTATAACATGTATTAACATGTCTCACTTTTTTAATCCAGAATTAGCTTCAGTGAGTGATGATGATGGTGATGATGATGATGATGGTGGTGATGATGGTGATGATGATACGATGGTCAGATACGGGATTTATGGATTAAGTCCACAAACGTCACACCACAGGGATTATCATCTCATTTCCTCTACATTTTCCCTCCACGTGTTTGGATGATGATTTGTGTCAGTTGTGTGTCAGTTGTGTGTCTGTCGTCAGGAGCTGGTTGTTAGTGTCCCCTCCTCTTCACAATGGAGCGACTTAATTAGCAGCTTAACAGAAACAAAGCAGCGAAGAGTGTGTGAGAGCTGAGATTGAAAGTGTGTCATGTAACCGAGCTGCGGACGCTGAGGGAACGTTTCTGCTTTTCA